AACCTCACAGGTGCTTCAATGGAGCATCGTTGCCGGGCCGCTGGAACCTCACGGGTGCTGCAATGGAGCATCGCCGAGCACCGAAACCTCACGGATGCTTCAATGGAGCATCGTCGCTAGGCCGTCGGAGCATCGCGGGTGGTGCGATGAAGCATCGCTGGCCCTTGGAGCATTGTCGGCTCCGGAATGGTGCATCGCTGGTGTTGGAACGGAGCATCGCCGGGCCGCCGGAACCTCACGGGTGCTGAGCATCGCCGGCTGCTGGAGCATTCCAGCATGTGGTTTCGTTGCAGAGGTTGTGCTTCTGGAAAATGACGACGAGGACACGCAAGTACTACTACATTGCAGCGTGAGCAGCTGCAAATGTCGGTGCTCTAGCAAGGACAAGGACGAGTCCAACATTGCAGCTGATTGTCCGTGCCTCCAAGCCGCAAGAGTAGCGCACAGTTCTACAACGTCGAAAGCATCGTTGCAATTTGCAAAGCTTTGTCCCATGTGCGTCTTAAGCGGCAGCGTAGCTTACGGGACTGCAGACGCTGGTACACTTCTTTCTTGTGGAGAGAGCCAACGGCTGGAGCGACGTTTGACCCGCGCTGGAATTTTTCTAGATGGAAAGCAGGGCAGGGGGAGCACAACGCAGGGAGCAGGATGAGTTATCGATCCAACGGCGGATGTGTCGCTATTGAACGGTGCGGGAGGCGGCTTATGTTTTTCCTAAAATCAGACGGATGATGCTTAGCAAGCGCCTTTTTTTAGGATGATTCTACTGCAATTTTGGTATGTACAATATAATCAATTAACAACAAAATCAAAATGGATGGTAAATTATGATGGTTATTAGGTACTCCCTTCGTTCCTAAATATAAGGCCTTCTTTGGATTGGAGGATTTTCACAGGATTTTCATGGGATATCAATCCTCAGGATTGTTTCCTATGAAACGCATTTGGATCAAAGGATTGGGCCATTAAAATTCCTCAAGATTGGGTCTTCAAGATGCTGATTCCAAAGGAATTTACACATGAGTCTGACCTCTAGAAAAAATCCACAGGATTGGCTATGTCATGGCAATCAAATACTCTATTTTTCCTATTCTTTTGTTTTGCAAATTCTGTGATCCAAAGAAGCCCTAAATCTTTGGAAACATTTCACTATGAATCACATATGAAGTAAAATAAATGAACAACACTCTAAAATGCATCTATATACATCGGTATGTGGTTCATAGTGAAATCTCTACGAACACTTATATTTAGGAATCGAGGGAGTATGAAATATTTTTACCCTATTGTAGCCATGGGCAATTACGGGTTGGGAGAACTTGCCCAAACCCAAGCCCACTCGAGACTACCAGAAAGGCAGAAACCCTCGCCTCCATCGCGCGACAAGCGCATCTACGACCACGTCGGCGTCGTCGCTAATGGAAGACCTCGTAGAGCAAATCCTTCTCCGCCTCCCGCCGAAAGATCCCGCGTGCCTCGTGCGCGCTTCAGTCGTCTGCAAACCCTGGCGTCGCCTCGTCGCCGGCCCCGCCTTCCGCCGCCGCTACCGCGAGTTCCACCGGAGACCTCACCTGCTGGGCGTCCTCCAAATCCTGCAAGGTGATGAACCTTACTACTCCCGATTCGTCCCCACCTCCGTCTTTCGCGTTGTGGATCCCGTCCTTCCATGTTGGTTGGTTGTCGACTGCCGCCACGGCCGGGCCCTGTTCGCCACCACAAACCCGCACATCGAGGGGACCTTGGACCTCGTCGTCTGGGAACCCATGACGGACGACCAACGCCGGGTTCCCCAGCCCTCGCCGGAGCCGGAGGACTACGTCGACTACGCAGCGGCGGTGCTCTGTGCCGCCGAAGGCTGCGACCACTGCGGCTGTGAGGGTGGGCCCTTTCTTGTGGCCTTCGTATCCACCGACAAGGGGAAGGGGGTGACCTCCGCCCGCCTGTACTCCTCGGAGACCGGCGCGTGGAACGAGACCACCTCTCTTCATCACCCCGAGGCCAATGCCCACTTTGCGGCTAGCGTCCATGTGGGAGACGCGCTCTACTTCCGCGGCATCGGGAATTACACCATCGAGTACCAACTTACTACAGCCCGCTTGTCCGTGTTGGAGGCGCTGGCCAAGTGTAATGGGAGGCTCGTGACAATGGAGGACGGTGGCCTGGGATTTGCCGCTGTGGATAACACGATCATAACCCTGTGGGCAAGGGAGACTGGCCCTGAGGGCGCAGAGACATGGACGCATCGCAGGGTAATCGATCTCAAGACGCTGCTTTCTGAAGATGCCCTCTCACACTGAATCAAATACTATAGTTGGATTCCCGTTGTATCTGTGGTCGGCTTTGCTGAGGGCACTGATGCCATTTTTGTTGGCACCATTGCTTGCGTCTACATGATTGAACTCAAGTCACGCCGAGTCACCAAGGTGCTCGATGAATTTGGGAGAGTCTGCCCCTACATGGGCTTCTACATTCCAGGTATCCCGCCTTGATTTTTCAGTTGGCACTTACATTTTCAAAGTAGTACTATATCACTTTGTGCCGTAAGTTCCCCTCCGGAGTAGTAGCAAGTTTGTCTTCTCTTAATGATTTTGTGCATGTGTGGGTAAACATGCTGCTAATGGGTTATTATTAATGTTTTGGAGAGTTAGACTTGTTGGTCTTTAGTCGATGGTAAGCAGCTTTTTTTATTTCTGAATTCTTGTATTTCTGCAGACATGGAAGTAGCTTCTACAGCTGAGGGGCCAAAAGAGGGTGTTTTAAATCTATGACAAACTCTATATGCTGGAGCACGGCTTCTTCGTCAAGGTGGAACTGTTGAAGTGACTTGTAGTGATTTTATACATAGCCTATGTGGTGCATTCTGGTACATGACTTCATATAGGATCTGCAAGTCCACTTTTTTATTGCTGTTCTTCACTTGGCCTTCTGGCCTTATGGGACTTTGTTAATGGCTTGTTTCCTTCAAATCGTTAGCTTTGCCTGTTGGTGTCAAGTTTCACTATGGCTTCACTATAAGGGATTGCAGATCAGCATAATACTACTCCCTCCGTTCCAAAATAGATGACTCAACTTTGTACTAACTTAGTACAAAGTTGAGTCATTTATTTTGAAACGGAGGGAGTAGATGGATACATGTACTTTGCCGTGCCGGAACCGTTGCCTTGAATTGCTAGCTGGGGTAGTGCCTTGTGACGACATATAGTTTTTCCTTGCAGAACAATATATAAATTATTATGTTGTGATGTTCAAACAAAAAATTAAGTAGCACTATAAGCATGGTACATTAGGTTGTAAATTTACTATTGCAGGCAACATAATTTTCTTTTGATAACATCTAATGATCTGCCAACACCATATACATAAGCAAGCATGGAAGCCACCACACTTACGAATCAATGAAATACAAGCAGTAATTTGATGGGCTACACAACATCTTTTTATCACGTATACTTCATCCGTTACAAATATAAGATGTTCTAACTTTTTTTCTGAATCAGGCATATATAGACATGTTTTAGTGTGTGTTTTCATTTATTTTTGTCGTATATAGTTCACATTGAAACATTCAAAACATCATATATCTGTGAATGGAGGGAGTAGCAGATAATACATCACAAAGATAAATTGACTTCAACAAAATAAATACATACACAAGACACCATCGGTGCCGGCTACTGCTCTGAGCGTGGGCCTTCGGGGCGGAACGTACATCATCGCCGGCACTCTATCGACAATTCCCTCTCTAGGTCTACCCAGGCCCTACCATCCACTTGCGACTTTCTCTTGACGCACTGGGTGGGGATAAGTTGGTCTGTGTTGTCTTTGGGTTTTGGTCATGTTGTAGAGGTCTTCGGTGTTGGTTGGGACGCGGCTTGTTTGCTCTATGGTTTGCTTCATTGTCATTGGCCTGAGGTTGGTGTGGGTGATGCATGTCTTATACTAGTACGCATGGTGTGTGTGGTGTGTGTGACTTCTAATCATAGTGATTAGCGTGTTGTAATGGCCGGAAAGCGTTGTACCCGGCTTCTTGCCGGCTTGCCGCTTCTTTCACATAGAACACTTTAGGCAGGTAAATTCTTTGCTTGCGAATGCACTCACTAACTCTAACCGACTACTCTTACAATTCAAGTGTCCTATCAGCTGGCTATGTTAGTCTCTTGCAAGCGGATGGCAGAGGAAAACCCTGTTGGTGATGTCAATAGTATCTAACAAATCTAAAGGTCATCCTATATCATAAAAAATACACTAATTATTTACATGTGCATGATTTCTTCCTTTCCCAAATGGCACCTGACTGGGATAGTAGTGCATGAAGAAGTCAGCGGCGACTCTACAAATGATATTTGCTTATACGATCTATACATTCAGGAATTGAAGAATGTAAAAAAAAGGTGCTGCTATACAAATAATCGAACCAATAAATAAAACAAACTTAAAGCAACTTGTTCTGGTTGACTTTAGTATGGCTAAATTAAGCAGGACGCAGGCCAAAACAACAAAATATTTTATCACACCAGTACACCAAAAGATCTCTGTGCAGTTTGAGAAGAATCAACCAAAGCATTATGAAATTTAAACCCAAAGATGCACCACAGTGAACATGAGGTTGGCTATGGCATGGAATTAGTGAAACGTATCTTAGATTGAGCAACAGGTCATAGTTCCTTCTAATAGCATCTAGCACACACGCTGTCCTTTGCAAATGGACAACTGAAACATGAGACCAACACATAGAGGATGCAAAGAGAGGGGGAAATCCCAGACTAATTGAGAGATACAAAGAACAAGGGCTAACACTATATGTACATACTAATATGTCTTCACCGTATTTATAATTATTTATTATTTTATGCTACATTTATATCACTTATATATGTGCTTTTGGCAACAATTTATATCAATTTTATTTGGACGAATCTATTAATCCAGTGCCAAGACCAATTCCTATTTTCTAGTGTTTTTGGAAATATAGGTCGAAAACTTACGTAGTCAGATTGAGCTATTTTTTTGTGATTATTTATGGACCAAAAATATCCCGCAACCAGAAGATGGACCAGAGGGGGCCACCAGTTACACACATGGCCTGATGGTGCAGCCCTCCCTCTAGTCGGGTGGTGGGCTTGATCTGGTCACCAATTACAGGTAGGGTCAAGGACCCATCATTCGGGACCCACATGGGGCCCATCATCATTATAGGTATGACCCTGGACTATGCCGGCATTCGGATGCATACTGTAGGAGGATCACTTGGACGGACTTGCAGCACTCGGATAACCACACGTCACTCGACAGACGATCAACCACTCGGACACACAAGGCAAGAAGGCGTCGCGGGAGCTGCAACGGTCGAGGAATCCTAAGTCGTCCACTAAATAGACTTATAACTACCGTTACCTGTAACTGCTGTAGTATAGCTCATTACACTAGTAACTGCCTCATTCAATGGCATTAATGGCCCCAGCGGCGCGGGAGACATGGGGCTGTGGGGCACTCTATATAAGATGCGCCCCTCTCCATAGCCGGGCAACGTTCAATTCTGTGATCGTGTCTATCATATCAAAGCAAGCCTTAGGGCACGAGACGTAGGGCTTTTACCTTCATCGAGTGAGGGGCCTGAACTCGTTAAACACCGTGTGTTACACCTAGGCCGTAGCTAGTCTATGCCCCTTATTCGTACCCCTAGTACACATTGTGAGTATCATAACCCTGACAGGGCCCGCATGGCTTCTCCATAAGGCGGTTGTGGCTCTTCTTTTGCTGCAAGAAAGATCCTAAAATAATAGAAATCATGTCAAAATTTAACCTGGTCGGAGTTACGAATCTTCGGCTATAAAAAACGGTGATCAGCCTCAGAAAAATACCAAAACTGAGTGAAAATAGAGAGAGAATAGATCCAATCTCGGAGGGACTCTCGCCCTCCGGGAGC